AGAGAGAGAGAGAGAGAGAGAGAGAGAGAGAGAGAGAGAGAGAGAGAGAGAGAGAGAGAGAGGGCGTGGAGGGGGAGATGTCAATGCGGGACTGAAGGATGGGGAAAAGGAGACCGGATTGGGATCGGGACGCTGATACAAATGTACGGATTCTGCAGCAGAAAGGGATCAGGATCGCTACGGAAATGTCAGTGCGGGATTGGCATATGGGGAAAAGGAGGCTGGATAGATAGGTAGATGGGGAGAGAGAGAGAGAGAGAGAGAGAGAGAGAGAGAGAGAGAGAGAGAGATGGAAATGCCGATGTGGGACTGCTCACCAAAGATGCAAAATGAGAACGGATCTTCTGCCAGAACTTGGGTCGATACAGGCACGCATGGCTGAAAAAAAAACGTGACTCGTCCCCCTTCCCGTCGGAATGAATCTTCCGCTGGGACATGGGGAGATACACGGGCATACTTTTTGTGTGTTTGATGTATGCAGCTCGTCCTCCTGCTACTCGTCTTCCCCCTCCCCATCGTGCTCCTCCTATCTACTTGTCTTCCCTCTCCCCATGGCGCTCCTCCTCCTGCCACTCTTCCTCCCGTTCGTTGCTCCTCCTCTTGCCACTCTTCCTCCTGTTCGTCGTTCACCTCCTCCCACTTGTCGTCTACCCCCTCCTTGCCCTGTTTGTCGTCATCTGAGCCGGTACAAACCCAACCGCGCACGGAACCTACAGCCCTATCGAACCCGAAACCCGCCAGCCCCGCGACAGAACATTCGGGACCCTTCGGCCTCCCCGTCGCATATCAAAGGGCCAGGTCAGGCGGGTCACACTACCAAAGCCTGTAATTTGCATTAATTTAATTAACAGAAAACAAAACCACACATATGCCTACAATGAATCAATTAATCCGTCATGGTAGAGAACCAAAAAGACGTACACAACGTACTTTAGCTTTAAATCAATGTCCTTAAAAGCAGGGAGTATGCCTTCGTGTTTCTCCGCTCACGAGAAGGGAAAAAAAACAACAACGGGGGAGACCCGCGAGTAGAGGTGCGGAAAAAAGAACGTTGCGGCGCGACTGCCGGTTTCTGCTGGGCCTGCGCCCCCGTGTCTCGAGCGCTTTCCCAACACTGTAAGTCGGGCCTCGCGGGGGCGTCACGGGAGACCTGGCTTACTCTTTAGAGTAAAACATATAGAGTGGTGGGGGGAGGGGGGGGGGAAGCAGTCTCTCTTTCCCTTTCATCCTTCCTTTTTTCCTTCTTCTTTTTGGTCCCTCCTGGGTGCTTGTCTTCTTTCCCTCCTCTCCTTTTTCCCAGGGCAAAGTCATGAGAGCGGAACAGTCAGCCTCATCGCCCCTTCTCTGCAGTGTTGGGATACAGTCACCAGGTAACTAGGACTTAGTGATGGAAGTCATCATGTTGGATTGGTAATCGGCAGCGAGCACCATATTTTTGTTGGGGTGCAATATCCAGCAGAGGTTAGACTTTTGCCCAGAAAGAAGGGCCCGTCTGCATATATTATTCAACTGGCGAGGATGTGGTGGGATTTCGTTTTACTATTTTAACTTTTGGCCTGTTTTGAAGTGTTTTCAGTGCTACTATTTTTGAAATGTGGCAATAAGAACTGTGTCGTCTTGGATGCTATTTAGGTGTGGTGAGGCTGACTGTTTTTTTTTTTTTTTTTTTTTTTCTGATTCTGTTCTTGGTCCTTTTCCCTGGTGCGCTTTTTGTGTGGCGCGGGCTCTTTTGTGTGGCGTTCCAGCATGAGGGGTGACTTGTTTGAATTTGACTCGAGCAGCAAGACGCCTTGGAGGAATCATACTCGAGTGGGTTCGCCGATCGAGAACTTTCCGCTTGCTCCCTGTCCTGGAGTTCTGATCAAGGACTTGTGGACACTGGAGAGCACTTCGTTGTTCCTCCTTACAAAGGTGACTGCTGGCAATTGTGTTCAGTTTTCCAGATCTTGTGGAAAACCCAAGCTTATGGCCACGAATCTCGACTTCGCTGTTCTGGGCCTTTGTTATTCCTCATTCACAGGCTCACACACGCACACACACACACACACACACACACACACACACACACACACACACACACACACACACACACACACACACACACACACACA